TCTATCACTATACTAGGTTTTACAGGTGGCATAAATTATAAATAAATTATGTATTTGTCAAAAAATATAAGAATAAATATTATATTAATAAAATCAATGAGTTACATTTTTTTTATCTATAGAAAAAATTAGGATGTAAGTTTCCGAGACTAATAATTTGGACTACAATTATTGAGTTATGTACAGTGAAATGGTTGGCTCCTCTAGTATTAATACCTAATTTTATCATAAATAAAATTATCACATGTATAAAAGGGTGAGGATGAAGTTATTTCAAAGAGTTACTCTTAATAGAGTAACTATATTCGATACTCAATATGTATTAAATTTTAACGAATTAAAATTTTTATCGAATAGATTGAATCTATAGTTATTTGTAATTTTTGAAAATTATTTAATATTTTGTTATATAAATTAAAATTAATGTATGTTTATAAAAATATATTATACTTTAATTTGAATTTATGTGTCAAAGTATAAATAATTTTCAAATTTTGTAAAAATTGATTGATTTAATCTATTTAATAAAAAAATTTATTTAACATTTGAATTATTAAAATTTAACATATATCATTAATAATTGAATAAAGAAACTTTATGAAATTTTATTTTTGGAGTAAATTGATACCTACTCTATATTATATAAAATACATGTGAAAAGTCCAAAATTTTATTAGTGGATTTATTTTCTTCCATTTACATAGTGTTAGTTAAGGGGGAGTGAAGGAGAGGGAAAGCGCGGATTTTATTTTTTAAAAGTTTTTGTTGTTGCTTTGTTTAATTTTTAAGAAAGGAGAAAAATAAAGATAAGTAAAATCTTTTATCATCTAATTTTAGTTTTCCTTAGGAGAGATTTAGAGAGTTTATATTCTCATCAATAGAAAATCCACTGACAACAAATTGGAAATTGTTTCGACAAAATATTGTTTGGATAGCCTAGGTGAAGGTCTGTTTGGATTTAAGGATAAGTCAAATGGGATACAATGAGTTTTATTTGAGTGAAAAATGTTTGTCCCGTTTTAACAAACCTTGAAAAATGCAGCATAGTGGGCATTGAAACTCCTTCGATGAAAGGTTGTTTTGACAGAACCCCTTCATTGAAAGCTTGTTTTGAGTTGTTTAATGTGACTATGGGAGCGTGTGTCATTGTAAAGAGTGAAAAATAATGGATTATCGCTTCAAGTTGTTGGATGGCAAAGTTTTCTAATATGCAAGGGAGAAGATGCAATAATAGGGAGGAATGACATTGTAATGTTGAATGTTTTTGATTTAGATCACATTTATTGATTGGAGTGAGAGACACTATTGGTTACTTTCTAGTGTCACGTATCACAATTAACAATCTTTAATATCTTTCCCATCGATAACTATCCTTTCTCTCTTTTTATGTTCTAAAATAGTTTCAATTCATAGACAGTTGCATTCTTGCATAATTCTCATCAAGGACTTCCATACGAATTTGACCAGGTTAGACTTTAAGCAAAATAAAGAGTTCAACCCACAATCGATCACAATAATCTGATTTAAACTGAATTTTTAGCTAATCAATCCAATAATTTGTTGTAACTCGACCGTATAACACAATACATACAACCAAACAAACCATCATACCGGATGCAAATCGATAGTTCAACCCATTTAACGAGCTGCTGGAATTCATAAATCTCATTCTTGTTTAGGATAGCACGGTCGTCTTACTTTCAATGTGGTGCTGTATTTTTAACAAATTAAACAACAAAGCAATGACACATTAATTAAAAGAGGAGACAGAAAAGGAATGGAAACCTGAAGCCTTCCAACTACATTTAATTCATTTGCAGGGAAAGGAGTAGGTGTAGGTCATTTGGATGAATATATAATTAATTGCATTGAGCAGTCATGAACCCTTTAATTATGGCCAAAGATGCCTAAAGACATGTTAACACCTTGAACGATCTGATTTATGATAAATAACAGAGAGAAATTAAAATACTATATACTGTAAGTAGTACTATCCTTTTGAATATTGTGAAAATTAAACAAATTGGAGAACTAATTATGCGCGATGCCTGTCTACATTGATTACTGTGACGCAAGTGCAACAGCGTGAACTTTCCACTACGCAGCTAATGGCAGCTTCGGATTTGGCACCAGAGTACCGTTGTGGCACTTTGTTGGAATTCTGTTGCTATATAATAATGCTGACTTATATACAAATCATAATCAACCACACATGAGTATCACCATTTTAAGTTTGCTAGAAGAATAAAAAACAAAATAAAACAGTTGTATATCATTTACTACAATCATAAATTATTATATATATATATATATATTTAACTTTTACAATAATAACTTTAAAAATTACACCAACAAAATCTTTTTATTTGTATAAATTCTTTTACATAAAAAATATATAGTTATTAAACTCTCACTAAAAATATGAAATAATACTTCATACCAAATGATTATGCTATTTAAAAGATGAAATTGATTCCAGTAAATCATCAATGCATTTTTTTTATTCTATGTTTTTATCGAATCATAATATTTTTTTATTTGCACTAAAATGAGAAATTTATTTCTATTAACAAAGTTTTTCTTTACATACAATAATGAATCTTGTGTTATTAATTATTATTGTTTACATGTTGTTTAAAGATTTTATATATGCTCGATTAAGAATACAATCATATATTGAAAGTCTTTCCAAATTTTCTAATATATTCTTAATTTATTTTACTTATTTTTTCTATAATTATCTCTTTTATTAATTAAAATACTAATTAATGTTATTTTTTTTCTATGAGATGAGGATAAAATTACGTGGAAATAATATCATCTTAAAAACTTAAAATAACTAATAAGTGGAAATAAGTGACAGTTAAAAAACAACAACAAAGCTAGGATTTAATTACGTGTTAAAATAGGTATTGTGTATTAGAATAATTATTATTTACTTTACTAAAATAATTTATTTGTTTTTTCTATCAGAATCATACTTATTACTAGAAGTTTACTATGATTCATAATTTATACTCAACTAATTGAAGTAGACTTTTATTGAAAATGAGTTGTTTTTATTATATATTTATGAACACATATAAAAATTAAAAATAGTTATTATATTAAAAATTTAAAAATCAGTTGATATTTTTATAAATAATTTAATCAAATAGGATAAAACAATTTAATATTAATTTGTACACCATACGTGTATCGCATGCAATAAAAAATGTATTTGATAAATGGTGAGTTTGGACCCGCCCGATCAGTGTACACTTTGTTGAAACAATGTCAAGAAACTCAAATGAAGAAAATGTAGCTCTCTCAAAGATTTCAGATTCAGTACAATGACCCGGAAATAATATAATATTATAGTAGTGACCATTTTTGTAGTAATAATTATAAACAAATGGCATTTGTTTTGGGTGAAGTGAAAGCCAATAAAGATTCTAGATGACTGTTCCAAGTCAAACCTTTCACCAAACGTTTGTTTAACCACAACATTTGTTTGTCAACCCTTACGGACTCAGCGAAAGAGACTGTTGATCATATTTTATTTGTAGACAATTTGGTGAGAATTTCCAGTTATTCTATTTGTTACTACTTAACACTGCTTCACGGATAGTGTTTTTTTTAGAATGAATATTTTGACTATAATGTCCAATTAAAGACTCACAAAAAAATAGGTTATCATTATTATGTGTTCCCCTTTTACCTCTCAGATACGTAAATCATACATATATCAAAATATCTAGCTTTTGGTGTATTTCATCGTACATTTAAAACTACACTACATTACGAGACAAATAGTATAAAAAAACGTGGATTACAATTTTATTTATTGGCTACTTTAGCTTAACAACTTCACAAAAAAAAATATTTCCTTATCATGTACATTTATGATGTATGACAAAGGACACACGAATTTTTTTGCCCCCTACTGTTATTAATGACAAATCTCTTTCTATCACTTTCTTTTTCCCGTTTCTTATACTTTAATTTCTCATTCAATTTGTATTTTCTGCAAAAAATACCAATTTTGTACTCAGATTTAAGTATGCCCATACTCTCTCTCCCCATCATTAGGACCGAATTAATTAGCGAGCAGGAAAAGATTACAGAGTGTAATAACACGCAGTTAGCAGCTCAAGTAAATAGCTTCAACCATTTTCTTATGATTCATTTATGAATGGCTATCTAGGTACACTTGAAAATTGAAATCCATCAATTTCCCAATATAATAAAATTCTGACAAAATTTTCCATTGTACCTAATTAAAGATCTAGCTACACATAAAACAAATTGCAGATCTTAGCATTAAATCCTTGAAATTGAGACATCAGAGACCATTCTATCCGTAATTGTCACCCCCAAGCACCGTATTTTTACGTTCATAAACATCACTATCTCGCGTTATCTGTTCCAGAAAACGAACTGTACAATTCTACTCCTCACTCACTATTATCAAAAATATTTTTCCTTCAGTTATCAAAAGAAGAAGAAAAAAATCTTTCACAAGTTGACCCAATGAAATTTCAAAAACAAAATTGAATGTGTTCCGGTTTATGTCTAACCTTGGGGGTGATGAGAAAATGGATTTTCCATTAATTACACTATTATAGCATCTATTTTTTTTTTTCATAAATATAATCTATGAAAAATTAAGACTAATCTACACTCATAAAGTATACCATACATTATTTTAACATGTTAAGAAGGGAGTGTGAGAGCAACATTATCCAACCATGATTTCTTCTAATGGATTGATGTTGTAAATTTAACATAACATGACCATTAAACCTTATGCGATTTTACCAATTTGACTGAAGCCCAAAAAGGTTGTGGTACCCACGTCGAAGGTTCGGAGCCACAGGTCACAGTTTGGTCACACTTGAGAGACCCAAACAAGTAATTTCAGCAGCAACACTTTCCGGACACGTAAGGCATTTAACGAAATAAAGAGGGTATTTTGGTAATCTCGTTGGTCCCCCATGTTTTCTCAGACAATGATTTCCGTTCAAGAATGGCTTGCAGAGTTGGCAATGTCCTTCTTCTCCCTTACCTCACCGATCCGTACACTTAACCTGCTTTCTCACTCTTCGTCGCTTCTCTTTGGCAGTTAAGCTGCTCCAATCCACACACCACCCACCTAATTTCTCTCTCAAAAAATAAAAATAAAAAAACCATTTTTTTCTTGGTTTTGATTTCTCTCTCTTAATTCGTTCATTTAATGCTTCCCGTTCCACACACACATTCATTGGTTTCATAAGCGGAGGAGTTATTTGCTGGAAGGGGGTAAATAGAAGAGGCAAAAAGAAGTTTTTTTTGGGTTTTCACTGTCTGAGAAGAAGATGCCTCTGGTGAGGTTGCAGATGAGGAATGAGTTTGGTTTGGGGCAGCCTGAGTTGTACAGAGAGACAAACAGGGAGGACCCTAAAGCTGTGTTAGATGGTGTAGCTGTGGCTGGTCTTGTTGGGATCTTAAGGCAACTTGGTGATCTTGCTGAGTATGTTTTCTTTCAATATCATTTTTTTTTTCTATTTGGGTATGTTTATATTGGTGCAATTTGAATTTTTATCCTTATGGGAGCTGTTTGGGAAATGGGGTTGCTAATTTCTGAAGCTTCGAGGCTTTAATGGGGTTAGGGGTTCCAGAAAACGTTGGTTTTAGTTGTAACGAATTAAGGGTGGTTTTTGTTTAGTGAGAAAGATAGTTGGCCGTTGGAATTGATGTTTGTTAATTTTTTTGGTTTTTGGGCCAAGTTTCAATCGAGAAGGTGACAAAATGCTCTTTGACTTTTGGTTTCGGTTGAGCTTGTGTAGAGTCTTATAGGTTGTGTACAGCTCGACCTTGGTTGCTCTTTGGATAATCACTCTAATTCATTTGGTTTCTTAGACTTGGGGTGGTTTACAAGGAGCAGTGGTTTCGAGAAGTGAATTTGTCTAAAAATGCTTTCTTGCTCTAACTTTGTGAGCTAACTCTTGGTTCTTTCTTCCATATGTTTTTTCTTTAAGCTAAACTAATTCCGAAAATCATTCTTCGGCAAAACAAGTGTTGATATAGTCCACGCAGTAGAAGGAATATGACTAGTCTGAATGCCATTGTGGAATTTTCGTAGTTTTTGGACCTCCATTACGGATATATACCACCTTCCTCTCCCCTCTGTCTAACTCTTTACTTATTTTGATTTGAGTAACAATTCAAAAAACCGAATATATTTCGGTTGAAGTTTTGATGAAATTGGGCGAAAAGTTAAATTTTAAGCTCCTGTATTTGTAGAGTTTGTTGGCAAAGTTGGACCTCAAAGCAATTTGATTGTGTAATTTTTAATAATAAAGCAGAATGAATGAGGGATCTCTGTCTTCTTTCTTCAAAATCATATTTTGTTGAACCCCAATTGAACACGTATTTCTTCTGTGGGAAGTAGCACTCAAATAGGTAATAATTATTGTTAGTTTTGCTTAATGTAAAGCTCAAGCCTTGCTTAAGGTCTATGTTTGTTGTTTCGGAAAATATCCTGAATTATGTTTGCATATTTCTTAAAATAAATCATGAAAAGTTATAATGCTAAAATAAATAATGGTTTCTTGTGTTGCATTCAATTTAATCTCTCCAATGCCTGTGTACTTTCATCCTATTCCACTATCTGTTTACGTGCTTGGTGTGTGCCCCATTATTTAAGTATAAATAATTAAGCAGTTACTGATAGTTGTGACACAATTCTGTACATGTTGAAACCTTGTTTAATATTCATGTGATGAATGCAATTTATTCTTAGTAGTTATAGTTTTCCTTCTGTTATTTGTATTCATATTCATAAGTGATGAAACTTTTTTTGAAAATGTAGTTTTGCAGCAGATGTTTTTCATGGTCTGCAGGAGCAAGTAATGACAACAGCTTCCAGGAGTCATAGATTGATGGTTCGCGTTCAAAACATTGAAGCTGCACTACCTGCCTTGGAGAAGGCTGTATTGGCACAAACAAGCCACATACATTTAGCTTACACAGCTGGTATGGTTCTTTTAGGCAATGATATCATTCTATGAAGATTTACTGGAAATGTTATTTTTTTTTTTTGATTCAGAAGACATTATTTCCTTTCTGAATGTTATTGCTTTAGAAAGATAATTATTTTATTTTACTTTATGGGGGGTGTATCTTTACCAAATTTTATTTGAAGGGAATTTTCTCCCAAATTATATAAAGGCAGCCTAATGGTGTCAGGAGAGGGTAGATGTATTCAGCTTTACACCTGCAATAGGAGAGGCTATGTCTAAGATATGCACCTGTGGCCCACCAAAACATTTATCTTAAAATAAAATTTGGACAAAGAGACAGTGTTATGTTTTAAATTAATACATAATAACTACCAACAGAGGTTGGGTCTAGTGAAAGGAGTTAATCCTCCACAACATGGTGAACCAAGGTTCGAATTCTATTGGGAGAAGTGTCTACATTTAGTGCTCGATAGTACCTCAAATAAGATTGCCTCCAAATGAAGGATACCTGTGGGAACCAAAAAAAAATAAAATTTAATACATCCTAATTAATGTCAGAGAATGCAAATCAATACTGTCTTCAATTGTTCAACATGTTAAATGAGTCAAGGTATTGTATGGCTTATTTGTGTGTGCATTGTGATTTTTTTGGCATGGAAGCAGGTCTGTGAAAGATGCTAAAACACAAACTCGTAACATATGCTATTTAGACAGTTATCTCTGATTATTTTTAATCTGATTGCAGTCAAGTGGCATTAAGCTAGATTTATGCACTTTTTAGATAGCATATATACATATCTTTTATTTTAAATTATGGAATACTACATTATTTAATGATCATGGTTTCAGTGTTCAAAGATTATACGAGTCCTTAATGAAAACCAGTTTCCTTTCAGGTTGTGAATGGCATCCACGCATAAAACCTGCTCGGAATCATTTCATTTACAATGACTTGCCTCACTTTATTATGGATTCATATGAAGAATGTCGTGACCCTCCTCGCGTGCACTTGCTTGATAAGTATGTTGAAATTTCCTTCCCCTGTGTTTCGTCTTTCTGTTTGAGAAAAGAAATATTAGTTAGGTACTACAGATTCGACTAGTTTTCAAGGTCTAGATGATAAAAAAATTACAGTCTTGTTCAAATTTGGACTGGCATCCCTGGATCTTGTACTTGTCCTATTTGCCATCTCTCTCTGGCTTTCAAAGTGTTGAGTACTGTCAATTAACCCTGCTTAAATTGAGTGGCCTGTATTGATTAATGAAATATTCCATGTGTCATTCAGATTTGATACTGGTGGCCCAGGATCTTGTTACAGGAGATATTCAGATCCAACCTTCTTTAAAAGATCATCTGCAGATTTGGACGAATCTTACTCTGAGAAGACCGAAAAAGCAAGAAAATCCCGTAAAAGCAAGGTATTACAATGATCCTAGCATTTCGGTGGGAATATTATTTTTAATCCCGTTTCATTCCTGTCATATGCATGCATTGATTTCTTTGCAAACAATTTCTTGGTGCTTATACGAAAAATGTTGGACAGAAGAAACGGTCATCTAGAAGGAATGGAGAAAGTTTGAGGGGTGAACAGATGCATAGCAGTAGTGGCAGGTATTACATCTTATATATGTCTATTGAATACTATACTAGTTATTAATTCAAAATCAACACTTACATAATGTATTGACTACCCAGAATGCAATCTATTTCTTCCACTATCAATGGGCGGACTTCTTCTTCGCGAACTGCCTCCACCATAGATATGACATTGAAATCAGATCGGGAACATTATTCAAATTCTTTTGATTCAAAATCTGGTGCTGGCTACATTGAATGTATTTTCCATCCAAGTAATTCTATGCAATCTGATGAGCCAGATTATAAGGAACCATCCTCTCCAAGGTTGACACAGAAAACTGATACTCTGCCATCGGTGTCTCCTCTTATAGATGATAGTATTTCACACAATTCGTTGGAAAAGAAAGTCGCCTCTAGTTCATCTGGTGTTACTTGGGATGAAAAGGAAGAGATAGTGGAATCTAAGAGTCAAATCTGTGATAGAGATAAAGCTCCAGAGAGGCTTGTGGAAAAGCATGACTCAAATATGCATGCGAATGAGGCTGTTACCTTAACAAACATTGACTACAATCATATCCTATTTAAAGAAGAAAGCAACCTGAAACCAGTCTCCAACAGGGTTCAAATTGATGATATTGATAGTGAACCTGATAATTACGAGGATGCTCTCAACACCATTGAATCAGAATCTGAAAATGATATTGATTATATAACAAAACGAGAGGTGCAGCAGTTCAGTTCACGTGTCACTCATGGAATGATTGAAAATGGAGTTACTGAAGCTCCTCCTAATTTATTGAACAATACTTTATCAGATGTCGTTTCCCAGAAAGAATATACTGTTCCCTCAAATAAAGAAACAGCCAAGGATTTAGCTGACTCACTGGAAGAAAATCATGTTCTTGATCTTGTATCAAAGCCAGATACATCTAACTTGGGTTCTGCAAGTCCTTCAGATGTTCTTGAGAGTGAAATTTTGACGAGAGACATTGCTTCCTCAAACAAAGAAACATTCAGGGATTTGCCTGACTCGCCACAAGATATTCCTCCTCTCACATCAGAGCCACATGCATCTAATTTGGTACCAGTTAGTCCATCAGATGTTCCTTATGATGAAGAAATGACCAGAGACACTGTTTGCTTTCATGAAGAAGCGTTCAGGAATTTTCCTGACTCGTTGCAAGAAATTCGTTCTCTCACATTAGAGCCACATGCATCTAATTTGGGACCTGAGAGTCCGTCAAATGTTCCTTGTAGGGAAGAACTGACCAGAGACACCGATTCCTTAAACAAAGAAATGTTCAGTAATTTGCCCAGCACATTGCAAGAAATTCCTCCACTCACATCAGAGCCACACACTTCTAATTTGGGACCTGAGAATCCATCAGATGTTCCTTGCAGTGAAGAAATGACCAGAGACACAGTTTCCTTAAACAAAGAAATGTTCAGTAATTTGCCCGACTCATTGCAAGAAATTCCTCCTCTCACATCAGAGCCACTTGCATCTAATTTGGCATCTGTGAGTCCTTCAGATGTTTCTGTAAGCAAAGAAATAGCCAAGAACATAGCTGAATCTCATCCCTCCAAGACTCCTACCTGTAAACAGGTTCCTCACTCACATGGAAATTCTGTTTTGGATCACTCAGTATGCACTGATACCTTCATTGGTTCTTCTGCTGTTACTGATACACTATCAGCACCAATTGAGACTGATGTATCATTTTCTGGTTCCAAAAGCACTAATTTACCAAATGAAGAAGCCGGTAAGATCAACAGATATGATGAAACTCGTAGGGAGTCTTTGGCTGATCACCCAGTTAGGTTCTGGACTAATGGTGGATTATTAGGACTCGAGCCATCAAAACCTCCTGACTTTAGCAAGTCAACTTCTTTAAGTCAAGGGTCTATGAGCACAAAAAGTGAAATAGATGACGGTTCACATCACAATTCATTGCAAAAGAACAATGGTTATAAAGAGGAACGGGAATCATCAGAAGCTGTTGAAGAACAGATTCTAAAGGAACCTAGTTCTAAATTCTTAACATCAGGCCACAATGATGACCAAGCTTGTATCTCGGAAAAGACCACTGGCAGTTCTCAGCTGAGTAATGGATTTGGTCAAACTGAGAGGAGCAGTTTAGGGGATATCAGGGTAACTGCACCTGGAAGTGTTCTCCCAGCGGCCCCTGACAAGAAGGACAATACTGAATCCAACCAGGGAGATGGTGAAAATGCATCCCGTGTGTTCGGACTTAGTCGTAGATTATTAATAAATAGCTTTCAGCGCAAAGTTTCTTTTGATGAAAAATCTGGACATTATAATTCTCTGAAATCTGTTATATTGGAGCAGAGTGAACAGAATAGCACTGTAGGACAGTCACTTCCTGAGACAACTACCTTCAAGGAGAAAGTTGGTTTTGGATATCCTATAAAGTCACTTCCTCCTTCACCTCCCCTTGAACATATGAAAATATCCTTCCAACCTGTCAGTGGACTAGAGACCTCCAAACTAAAACTGAAATTTCCTGATGGTAGTAATCGTCATGAAAGCATAAAGGAAATGTTTCCTTCTTTTCAGTTGGTCCCTGAACCTTCCGTTCCAGGGGATGATTCAGTTTCTCACTCTGATGATGATGACACATTCTGCAGATCATCTCCATACATATCAGATGATTGTCGAAGCCCTCGCTCTGACTATAATTCAGATCAGTGGGAATCTGATGAAAGTCCTGAAAGCAGTGACCAAGGAGTACATGATTCTCCAGACAGAAGGTCCTCAACTGAATCTGTGTCCAATGAAGAGAACATTGTAAAAGGTGGAAACAGTACATGTACGACAAATGGTGTGGAACATTCTTTATCCGGGCCATTACTTGATTTTCCAAGTTATGATAATGTTAATCCTGCACTTGAGAAAGAAAGTAAAAAGCATTCCAAATGCACTAATGCTGTTATGTCACACAGTCATGCAGAGGCTACACCACCACCTCCTCCTCCTCTTCCTCCAACTCAATGGCGGGTCTCAAAACCAGAGTTATTAGATATGACAAATGGGACACAGCATTGTATGTCTGAGGATGCTGAACATATTAATGATCTCAGTCTTCCAGATTCTACTATCTTCCAGCAACCAAGCCTGACCCAGGTTGAGCAAATACAAATTAATCACGATGGTCACGTATCTTATGACAACATTATATATAAGCTGAAGGACAAGGTAACATTTGGTCATACCTTTCTCTTGATCATTGTATTTATGCAACCATGGTGGATGTTGGAATCTTACAATGTTTTTATCTTGTTTAGAGTTTCCTGCAGCTGGATCAGCAGAAGTTGAAGGGTCAGAAGGAAGCAAACCAGTTGAGAATGGAAAAGGAGACAGATGAAAGAGAAGATTTCCTATATCAAATCAGAACAAAAGTATGTAGGCTTGTTATAATCTCAACTATTTTGGGGTAAATAAATATTGGGTCTTGCTAACCAACGCCCTTAGGACATTTGTTAAGAAATCAATATGTAGAAAGGTTTTATTGAAAACTACAATAAAGTTACACGGAAGAACATGCAGATGTATTATTAATAAAAACTTTCTATTTTGATTCTTTAATCAATATCCCAAGGACATTGGTTAGCATTTTCCACAAACATTTTGGTCCTAGATAGGTTTAATTGTAATTAAGTTTGTGCTTCATTAAAAATGCATCAAAATGGCCATTAAATACTTAAAATTTCACATCAAGTTAGTCCTCCAAATGACAAAAATTGACATTGGAGTGTAGACCATGTCAATCCTGAACTTGATTTTGCAAAATTAATCTGTAAACAAAGTACTAATGATTATAGTAGTTAACTTTGCTTTGTGTTGTCATTTATTTGTTGGTGCAGGCCTTCAACCTTAGGCCCACAATAACAGGAAAGTCAAATGATGCCACTGGTCCCACTGCAAACGTTAAAGTTACAGCAATTTTGGAGAAGGCTAATGCAATCCGTCAGGTATTGGTCACTCCTCGTTTATCTATTACTCTTTTTTCCTTCTGTATTTATGTCTGCATTTTATATCTAATTAGCATCCATAATGGAAAAACTTTCAGGTTGTTGCGAGTGATGATGGTGAAGATGATGATAACTGGAGTGATACATGACATTTTTAGTTACTTTTTTGTTTCATACACGAGCAGTTCTTTTATGTTTCTTAGCCTCTTGAAGTGAAGTTGCATGAGGCTTTGTTGTATGTACGCATGTGTGAATAAATCTTGTTTATCTGTTATTAAGTGTAGTTCAGTTTCATTCATTATCATATGAATTTGTCTTCATTAGTTTTTGCTTTGAATATTTGGGCTGGGTAATTGGGCTGACCCAATGTATTGTGAGATTGCAAATCCAGGCGACTGTTTGTACAAAGTTCCTGAAGAAAAAAGAAAAAAGAAAAAATAATTCCGAGCACTTGATTTTATTTCAAATTATTATTCTCCCTTTCAACTACAAGATATCAAAATAAAAGAAGATTTATGGATAAAAATATTCTAATAATTATAACAAACAAATATATTTTCCGTTAATGCATGAAAATAATGCATTTTAACGAATTAATATTTTAGCAAAACTCCCTCCAAATACATCAAAATAAAAGAAAAAAATGGATATTATTTGTATATTATATCAACATAAATATATTAAAATAAAAGTAAAATTTTGGATAAATGTTATATGTTGCAATGCACGTCGCTGGGTTGCTTATTTTTAGGTGATTCAGGCCAAAATTGTGTTCTGTATAACTCTCAGGCATATTTTCAATGGCGTCGAGTATGAGGAGAGAGACTCGTTTCTACTTGGATTCGCATCAAGTGCTAATGGAGTGATGTTAGACGTGAGTCAAGTAGAGGTCCTTTGCTTGATTGGAGTCAGACATGGGTTTTGTCACGCCAGGTGCGAAAGGGTGGGAGACTCTGTCTTAACCATGTCAAATGCGTGTAGTTTAGCACCGAACATGGGTGAGACAAGGAACCTTCTTCCTCAATGGTGTTGGGCGTCCTGTGTGGCGTCGGGCGTTAGTTGCATGATCAAAAGTTGTTGTTTAAGTTGTTTTAATAGTTGAATAATGATAAATAAGTTGTATGGATGATGAATTTGTATGTTGTGAGTTGATACATTATGTAATAATATTCATGTTGTTAAGTTGTAAGTTGATTAATGAATAAGTTGTATAACATATGAGATATGTTGTAGTTGAATGAGTTATAAAGTTGTATGATGCTTAAGTTACTCATATTGTAAAGATGTATGATGTTTAAATTGTTCAAGCTAATAAATTATAAGTTGAAAGTTGTTAAGCTATACACATATGAGTTAGATACATGTCTTAGCTATGATACATAGAAACTAGAGGGGAGTAAGTTGTTTTCAAAATTAGAATATTTCATTATGTGGATATACGTTACGGTGCTTCAAGAGCTTAGCTAAAACCCTTCAGTAGGTAAGTTGGCTTTTGAGTGGGTTTTTTTTTTTTTTCCAATTGTTTCCTCTAGGTTTTATATGGGATCCATGTGTAGGCAAAGTCGAGACACACGAATATAAAGTGACAGATCGAGTAAAATATCAGGTCGGAGACTTAGTCTCTAACCTAGTATTGGAGGGGCACAGTACTTGGAAGGTAGTTGGTGAACTAATTCTATAGGTGACTTATTGTTGTAGACTAATGTTGTGGTAGGTCCATACCCAATTGTTCTACCTTGATAGTGGTATTAGATTTCTTAGTTTAAGTGACAAAACCTGAAAAATTAAATTAAGTTGTTTATACCTTGTATGAATGATGATATATGATGTTTAAATTTGTTTATGATGAGAATTGACGAAGTTAATTATGTATGATGTCTTAAGTTTCATGTTGATAAATGATAAATTGTAAAGTTATATTGATGCTATAGTTGATTAACTTGTTAGGTAAGTGGTATAGATACATGTCTATGTTGAAATACATTATAAAAAAAAGGAGAGTAAAAGTGCTTTTAGAAATTAAAATATTTCATTATACAGATATAAGTTGTAGTGCTCTAAGAGCTCAAATTGAAACTCTTTAGTAAGTTGACTTCTAAATGGATAGTTATTTTTAAGTTATCTTCATTAGATTTTATGTGATATCTGTATGTGGGTAAGATCAAGACATACATGTATAAAGCGGCTAATTGAGTAAAGTACAAGGTCAAGGACTTAATCCATAAGTATTGGAGGAACGTAGTATTTGGAGGGTAGTTGATGGGTTAATCTCATATGTAGCTTAATGTTGCAAACTAATGTCATGATAGATTAATACCCAAGTTGTTTTATCCTGACAGAGCATTAGACTTCCTAGTTTAAGTGACAAAACCTGAGAAATCAAATTAGGTTGTTAAACAAGATCTTTATAAGACATGAAGTTTTCTATTCCTGATCTAGCTATGATAACTCAAATGTTGTGATTCGATAAGATCTAGCTACTTAAACTACTCACCTCTATTGCAGAAGATCTCCTTAGTTGATATGTGTGATGACACATTAGTTGAATATGATGTTGATGATTGAGAATGTAATATGTTAAAGTTGCTATATATTGTAGTAAGTTGCAAGTTGTTTGTGACCCTTTCTACCCTACATGCCATAACACATAATATGATAAAATAACATGAAATACCTCAATATGATAAATAGACTCAAAATTTATGTAGGTAGAAAGAACTACATTTTAACATAACTAGATTTAGTGGAAATATCAAATTGCTAAGGTAATAAAGTCAACTATTCAATTTACATAACAAATCAAATTCTAACTAGTCTTAACTAATCGCTGGTATCACGTGTACTATAAGAGCAAAACCCGACGCTAAGGACTAGACTTGATCACCAACATCCTTAACACCATACTGGTAGTTACCTATAGAAATCAGAAGAAAATAATATAAAAGAAAAAAGAAGTGAGAAACATTGATCTCACTCTGACTCACGAAGCAGAATGCAAATTGATTAGCCAAACACGAACAACACATAACATAATATAGCATACACAGTTACACATCATCATCATACTTAGCTCATCCATAACATAATAAACAAAAACAAATATAATTATAATGTGTATGTGATGGGCATGAATTATATGTTATCATTCATGTGACACCAATAAAAATATCAGAGTTATGCATTGTCGCTAACAACATACTAGAGTAGTCTAGGAGTACATGTCGGATCACATCCTCTGTACATTTTCACTAGAAGGACATACTATCAAGGTTTGATCAGGATAGCTAAGCCACCCAAGATACATTCCATGCTCACTAAGGCAAGATTGAGACTTCCAAACTGAGCTATCCTTAAGATTGGTTCCCAAGCTTTTACACAAAGGACTTTTCTTAACGGTGTATTCCATATCGTACCCTTTCAAAAAAAACTTATATGCACATGATGCATATCAAATAACTCTATGCATAACATTTCATACGATCTCATTAATTCATTGTCAACTGATCCCATATCATAAAATCATCAACCATTCTTAATATAAATATTAAAAATTCAACTATATCAATTAAATATTAGCAATTAATGGAATAAGGAATCACATCACTACAACTCATACATAGCTCACAAGCATATTAATAGCACACTCACATACTATATTTCCATAACTTAATCTTCTACAATATTGCATGATCCAAACACCCTAACTAGAGTTATATGTATACTATTAAGTTGATATTAATTTTATTAGAAAAAGTTAAGACAATTATCTCCAACTTCTATATTGACCTCAAAAGTTAAATATGCCATCTACTATTTTAAATAAATATAAAACTGCAATGTTTTAGTCTAAATTTGACAATCTGACCTTTGCTTACTAGTTTGATCATAACTTGAGTTATAGACCTCTTTTTTTTATGTGATTTCAATGGAATTTGAAAACTAACATCCAAGGCTACAATTTTGAAAAAGATTACAAAACCTAATTATGCCATTTTAGTCTACTCGAAAGACTTACAACATACATATGTTACATTTTGTGCACCAAATATAAGGTTCATCTTTTAACTGACATAATTTGGTCATTCCTTAATATTTTTATGTGATTCTTGAGTCTAAACTGTAGCCCCAAATGTATACTTTCTAACCCAACAACTCAAACTCAATTTCATTAATCACATATAGAGAAATCACATAAATGCCAAAATATATTCATACCAGAATTTTCAGAGCAAAGCACAACTCATACCCAAACTCTCTTCTCCCAATCAAATCGATAAGAACTCTCCATAGGTTACGTTACACTTCTAAAAGATAAAATTTACACATACAACTACTATCCTTTCACTAACATCACAACAAGTTCCCTAAGTGTTTCCCATAAGAATCCATAGGGACCTCAAATCATACAATTTCTATTCCAAAACATGAAATTAATCATCCATTCAAACAATTCATGTTATTAATCATAGCAAGAAAAATAAGGAATAGAGTAGAAAAATTAAGAAAATCTTTCATACATAGGCACACAACATACATAGGATTGGAGCGAATTCTACTACCCAACATACATTAATTGCTGGAAAAGTATCATATGCATTGATATGAAAATAAAAAAATAGATATGCGAAGATATAATTTAATGTATTTTTTCTATTATTTATAGATTCTATCTTATCTAAATAATAGAAATAAAATTTGATTTTTTATTCTATGTATTCGAAAAAAAGATGTTTCAAATTTAAAAAATCACTTGTTTGGTAGAACTTAGAAGAAGACCCTTCTGAATGAAGAAAGGGCATAGCAATTTTTTTTTATAAAAACTCATACCTCAAACAAGTTTTTTTTACTCTCTAGATGACAGGTATATAGCTTCGAAGTGATTTCCTTCATTCTCTTATTCTCCGAGCTATGAAACACGTATGTGAAAATAGAGGTATAAAAAAAGGTTTGATCAAAAAACTCATCTTTTAAAAATCCTAACATTCCTTTAACCTTCTAGTTAAACATATTAACTCCAAATCTCCCAAAGATCCCTTCCCTTTTTAATAAAATATTATACTATTATACAAATCCTTTCCCTTTTAATAAAATATTATACTATTCATTAATAAAATATCATATAATATATTCTAAAATATTTTACATAATTAAAACAAATATTTAACAACCCTTGTTAATAAAATAAAATATCAAAATTATTAATAAAATAATTATATTATATTTTATAAAAAATGAGATGTTACATTGTTTGTGTTATACTCAATGATAAGTAGAAGTTGTATGTTGAGTTGAATGTTGTTACCTAGTTAATTCAAGTTGTTACTCAATGTTGTTATTATATGTTGATTCTTTCACAAGTTTACCTTGTATTTTTCTTGTGGTTGAAACTACAATGGTCATACATCATATGAGAGTAAAACAAGATTATTAGGATGATTTGTCTAGCTACCGGAGGGTCATGTTGTAA